AGAAGAAGGAGAAGAAGAAATAGCAGCAGCAGCCAAGTCAGCTTGTTGATTCACATATTAAAGTTTGAGGTTTCAAGGGAAAAATTAGCTTTAGAAAGATGTGACAGCAAAGCAAATAAAGAAGATGGTTGATGGATTTGGGTTCCTTTGAGAAGCAGAGTTTGGGTCATGTTCAATATAAGCATTGGGCCATACCCCAGATGTACAATGTCAAGTGCCAGAATCACTTGATCACTTGACATCTCGTTACTCATGATTTGCTCGAGCGGGTCCCATTCTAGTTGCCGCATGATGTTCTCGAGGGTGGCACTGAAGAGTTTTGGTGAAATGGTATCATCCTGCCGAACCCCTCTCTTGATGTCAATGATCATCTCCCTGTAGAATGGTGAGATCCTGGTAGTGAATCCACAATACAGTTCACGGAGGATTCTGATGTATTGACATTGAACACCCTGATTGGCTAGGTCTTCATAACTGCTTCTGTCTCAACAGAATCAAAGACCTTCTTTAAATTAATGAACATTAGATAGAGCAGCATCTTGAACTCCTAGAAACCTCAATGAGCTTGGTTATCGTGTGGATATGGTCGATCGTGCTGAATCCTTGCATGGTTGTCGTTCATCTAGTGTTCTGCCAATCCTATTCAGGATGACTCAAGTTAACAGCTTGTAGATGACAGACAATAGGCAGATCGGGCAATAGTTGCCTATGTCGTGAATGTCTCCCTTCTTGTACAGCAGAATGGTCCTGCTGCTTTTCCATTGGGATGGAACCTTGCATTCAGACAGATAGTGTATGAAAAGCTGAGCCGGTGTATTGATGAGTACCGATGGCAGATTCTTCAGGTCTTCTGTTCTGACCTTGTCTGGACCAGATGCTGTATGCTTCTTTACAGATGAAATGGCGTGTCAGATTTTGGAAGGGAGAATGTTGGGAATAACATATCCATCCTGAGGAATTTGGTATGTGGGCAGGTATATGTGGCTACCAAAGAGATCCAATAGAAGTCATGGATAATCTTCCCCATTGCCCTTCTGAAAGATGTGATAGATCCATCAGGTGGTTGGAGGGCAGTCATCTTGGTCTTGTAGTTGGCAAAGGACAGGCGGGTATTGCTAATGCTTTTCTCGGCTTCTGCTTCATCGGCCAGCACTGCTGCTCCTTTCTCTTTGAAGTCTTCCTTTATGGCTTATCTGCACTTTTTTGGGAGCTCGAACGTTAGCTTGTGATTGTCTGAGGCTTGTGCCAAGCCACATTGGCAAATGAGCTCGAGAGTTTCCGAAGATAGGAGTCTTTTTGTGGCTTTCTCTCTCTCTCTCGGTGTTCCTCACACAATCATGGAGGTGCTGAACCAGTCAATCGTATTTCTCTTTGATGTCATTAACGACATCTTCCCATGTTGCAGCAATAGTGCCAAAGAGCTCCCAGTTGGTGGTTGTTCTGGGAGTTCTCTTCTTAAACTTTGCAGCCCTTTCTTCCTGCTCCATGAAGTAGAATTTTGCATGAAGGAGATGGTGGTCCGATCCCATTTGGAATTTTGGGACAACAGTGACATAGTTCAGGCAAGACCATCGATTGAATATGATGTGGTCAATTTTGTTGTGGAACCGTCCACTGGGAGACTCCAGTGTCCAACATTTAGATTCGGCCTTCTGGAACTGTGAGTAACCATGAATGGTCTTCGTCGACATGTGCCAGAATCACTAAGCTGAAAATCCAGAAACTCAAAATCTTGAAAGTCCATATGCTTCAGGGATTCTTGCAGTCAGAATTGTGTCTTTCAGGAATTTAACCAAACCCATAAAAGGTGGATTCACAGTAAAAGGGACTTTAAGAAACTCATTATCATTTTTACCACAAAATCTCAGCATTACCTTATTAATCAGTGATATTTTTATAATAGCATCTTAGAACTTGGAATTTTAGATCTGGTAAATTTATTTATTACATTTATTTTCATATCTAGTGTATTTTACTTTGTGTCTACTTAGCTGAATTAAATTTAGGTAAAATATGATGGTGTCCGTAATTTTCATTGCTCCACATGATAGAAAACATTTATGGAAAAATCTGGCAGACAGGGTTTTATTTAAATAGAAAGGGCACATTTTTCAGCTTTGCAATAGCACCAATACTAATAATCTCTCTGTAAGCAGCTAGTGTTTCATGTACTGAAAATATCTGTTCTTCCACTGTAAGGCAAAATTTCTCATTCATTTCTTCAGTCAAGAAGTTTACTCTCTGTGCCTCAACGTTGGTCCACAAAATTCTGTTCTCCCTTTTTATATCACTATTATTCCCTGTAGTTTTCCTGGTGTTAATTCATGCTCAAATTTAAATTGGGATGAATTTAAATCTATTAAAGAATAGATTTTGCATGATGACAAGTCAGACTAGTTCTGGATTATTTGGAAATGCTGAACATAGGGAAGCTAGAGAAGGGTCCAGATCAAGTGGAATATGAGGCTGAGACTAAAGAGGACACATACCACATTATAAGGATTTTGAAGACTTCCTCTGGGCAGGAAAAAAAAATCTCAGCTTTTTTCACAATCTTTGGAATCACTGATGAGAAAATTTTGATTTGTGTCACTTAGACCTTTTGAGAATCTTCTGCATTATTTTATCTCTATATTTCCTTCATCCCTCAGGACTTCCGTTTCAGAAATATGACCATTAGTTTGAAGAAGACATCTTGATATATGATATTTGATGTCACCCCTCTGAGTTCCTTAATGATATTCATTACCTCCAGTTTTTTTTTTAACCTGGTATGGTAACTTACAGGGGCAACTGACAAACTCTTTTTAACTCTGTTGTCTTTTGTATTATAGTATATGACTATCCAACTTCTTGTATTCAGCTCTTTTCCTTGTTTTTCACAATTTCTGGTGTGGGTTGTATTTTCTTTACTAGCTTCATATTGGATCAGGGACAAAATAATTTGATGCTATTTTGTGGTTAGCTTCCCAGGAAAAGGAACGTGACGACTGATTCAGAGTGGAAAGACACTTCATTCACCAGGGAGACCTTGAAAAGATGGCATGGTCTGAGCCTGGTTTTGAATTGAAGTGTTTTAGAATTCACAATCACACTCTTTCCTAGTAATAGCTAAGTGGGATTGGATTTTCAACAGGGAAGAACTATGTTTTTATAAGGTGAACCAGAAGATGGGTAGGAATGTCTGAGTGAATGAGAGAGTATTTCTTCTCAAATTGGAAGAGAGGCTGGTTGAGTTGCTTATTTGTAATGTTCCATTTAATTCTTTCTATTTTTGTTTTTATTTTTTCTAGATAGGGATATAGGAGTTATAAATTTTACCTATTTCTGAAATTAACTGGGTTCTAAGAAAAATCCTTGTTTGACCTCAAGAGATGGAATGTTGTGTGTATTTCAAGAATAATAATAAAAAATCATTACCATTGAGTCTACAAGTATCTGGTTTACTGGAACAGAAGGTAGAAGATCATTTGGAACTGTGACTCAATTTGGGGACAAATTCTAGCTATGCTATAGACCTAGAAAATTCTTGAGTTCATATATTGCTGCAGGGAAGGGGAAGTAATATGGAATGAAGTTTACTCAATTGAGACTGTGCTGTTCAGTATCTTAGGCATCCCAAAGGGATGGTGTATATCTGAGGGTTGTAAGAATGTAGGTAGGGAGCTTTAAGCTGAATCCTTCATTAAAGAGAACCCAACATGGAGTGTTTTGGTCTTCAGAAATACCAGTCAACTTGGCTGAAACATATAGCTATTTTCAAAGTAAAAAGACACCTTTAGAACAATCATAATAACCTCTCAGTATCTGTATTGCAAACCCCAAAGAAGGAAAGTGCCTGCCATAGAGACAGGCTTGGGGGTTGGAGTGGCAGGAGGGAAACTGGGGACACTGTGGTGGGAAATGTGCACTGGTGGAGGGATGAGTGTTGGAACTTTGTATGACTGAAACCAAATTATAGACAACTTTGCAGTTTTTTTTTTATCTCATAGTGAATTAATTAAAAAAAAAAAAAAGACTTCTTTAGTATGAGAAGCAAGGACAAGCTTCCCACCCCAGACAACTCCCTTCCTGAAGGGTGTGATGTTGAACTAGTTCCAGAGCTGCGTGACTGAACTGAACTCTGGGGAAGTCCCTCCAGAGCCCCTTTCTGAACATCAAAGTTTCTCTCATCAACTCCATTTCCTCCGAGGCCTGCCTTACACTTATGGGATCTCAGACAGGTTGTAGTTCTGCTGATGCTGTGATTTTTCTCTTCAGAACCTCATCAGTTTCTTCATCAGGGCATCTGGCAGGTGGAGCTGATTTGCTTTCTTGTCACACAACTGTCACACCCCTTCAAGGAAGCAGGAGTCACCCTGCGCTCTCCAGATATATGAGCAGGCATCCTGACAGCCCATTACAACGCTTGGGAACTGCAGGAACTGCGACTCAGTCCCTAGGAATAAAGGTCTTTCTTTGACACCAGAGCTGAATGTCCTTTGACTCTCTTCTCTTCTTTTTGGCTCACTGAAGCATCGGGCTGTGCAGGCTGGTTTTTTGTCTTGTGTTTCTCAGGGGTAGTTACTGGGTTCCTGTTCTGGCATGAGTTTGTCTTAATTATTTGCAGAGTCAGATGTCAAGGGAATGGAGTGGGTTGCTAGAATGACTGGGCAGAGGTATCGGGGGTTCTGGAATACTGATGATAAAAACTAATGCCTGGTCTAGGAACTTCTAGAGATATACTGTTATTGGCCGAATTTCTGGGAGGATTAAAATTCTCCTTGATCTTCCCACCCTGCTTATCTCAGGAAGATTTATTACAGGAGGAGGCTCAGATTCTCTGAGTAGGACTTGGTGTAATTAGTTTGTCCCACCCCTCTGTTCAGAACAATGACCTGAGAAAGTCTTGAAAGTTCTCCAAAAGTTTATATTCATATCACTGTCCCCACAGGTGCTGAGACAGCCTAATTACAACAGAATTACAGAATACTTTTTTTTATTATTCAGGTGATGTTAGGATGGAACAAGGGAGCCCGGAGACCCCCAAACCGGTAGCTGTCTCTTCAGAATCCTCTCTCAATGTGCTACATTTCGACAGTGATATCAAATTGCCTAAAGTGGTTATAAAAGGTAAGGACCAGTGCTTGATGACAGCTCTAGCTCCAGACCAACTTACACTAGTGAGCATCAAAGGAATTAGCTGAACTTTCACATATTCACTGATTGTTTGCCAGCTTAGACCAATTAGGGCTTTGCCCTTCTCACAGACCAGAGCGCTCTTCTGTACAAAAAGTCTGGATACCAGGTCCCGTGAGTACTTGCAAGCTTGATGTGCAAACCTAGACTTTTCATACTGATGGGCCTGTAGTAGGTGATCTTTCTTCTGGTGCTCAGTAAAACTGCCTAAATCTTAACGTTTCTTTGTTATCTTTTTTCCATTTTACAGAAAGGGATTCATCTGACTTTGGAGAGGTCTCTGACTTGAATCACAATGTGTGGATCTTCCAAGATGAAAACATTGTGTCAGTTCCACGGAGGGAAAGTGTGACTCCAGGTGAGTGGGGATTCTGTGACTGCTCCTGGAGAGGCATACTCCCTCACATGAATGAGCGTGGGGGCTGCCACTGGGCCTTTAGTTGAAGTGTGACTTCATAGTGACTCATTTGATAGAGGAAGATTTCAAATCATCCTGGGAAGGAAAGTATAGAAGAAGTTTATATGGAACCCCATGAAGCGAATGAAATAGGGTAGAACAAAAGTTCTGCTTTCAAGTTTGAGAGTATCCTATGGTAAAGGAAGAGCTTATGCTGTCTAAGTGCAAGCTGTCCCATGAACACTAAATTAATGGAAATCCTAGACAGGCATATTTCAGTATCACAACAGGCAAAACTTCCTCATTGGCAGAGCTCACCAAGTATTAATGGGGATCCCCACTTCCAGTGTGTAAACAGAGATGTGAAAATCTCCCAGGAAGGGTTTGCCATCTCCAAGTCCTAGGACAGAAATGAGTGTGAATGTATGCTACTGTGTGGCACGATATTAGTCTTCCTGACTTTAAAGGGAAGCAGAGACATCAACCCCTTTCATCTTTATAGTCATTGTCACTGTCATCCCCTGCAAATACCTGGCATCTCCTGAGAAAAGCACAAGGTTTCCCATTTACTTGGGAATTAAGAATCCAGAGAAGTGTCTGACTTGTGAGGACATTGAAGGGAAGCCCACACTGCACCTGAAGGTGAGTGGTTAAAAAAATAATGTGAAAAAAAATCATTTGATATAACTTTTTCTTGGTAAAGAAAATCTAATTTTAGAATTAAAAAAAGAAGTATTTTTCTGTTATTAATCATATTCGCTCTTGACTCCTTTTGCTTTTGAAATGTACCTACAACCAGCATTTTAAAAAAATTGTCTTGTCTATCATCAATGAAGACTACCTTTCTTGAGTTTTGATAGTTTATATTGTCCTGTCCAGTCCACCTTCTCTGTTTGTTGGAATGAAGGAAACAAACTGAACCTGAGTTTTTGTGTGGGATCTGGTCCCTAGTTCCTGAGTCTTCAGGGAGAAGTGGTTCTAAAGATGAATGAGTTAATTGCTCTCTGCAGGGAAAGAAAGTCATTCTTGACCTCTGCCTAAGTGACTCAGGTTTATTGCCTATTGTCTAAGAGAGAAGTTTTGTAAGAAGACAATGTTAAAGAAAAAGTTTATTTAAAGTGAGGAAGAAAAGAACCATTTTGAGAGGCAATGTAGCATTTTTTAGAGATTAAACTGCCTTTTAGGAGGGTTGATATGATTTCCTCCACGGTTGCTAAGGCTTGGGGTGTTCTGTGCAGGCAAGAACTATTGCTCGGGCTTTGTCATAGGAAGACTTTGAATTATTTATATTTTTATTTAATCTTTTTGTTCCAGTCAAAGCATTTCCTCTCCTAAGAGTGTCCAACATTCCCCATTTTGTCTCCATCTTTCAGTCTTCTCAGGCCTTAGTTGCCGTGGTATCACCTCCAAGGAAGTTACTACCTTTGAGCCTTTGTAATTCACTAAATGATTGGTGATGGAGATACATATTCACTTACTTAGAAATAGTTTTTTACCTAAATACCTAAATAAATTTGTGTACAGATATACATGTACATAAAGCACATGTCCCTAAGTGATAGAGGCATTTCTGAGTGTTATCTTTACTTTGCTCCTTTGTGTAAAGGTCTTTCTCCTCTGCACAATCGACCTTTCTTCTCTGTTGGCAGCTAGTCAAAGACCCACATCAACCTTACTTTTGTGGATCTTCCAGTCAAACCTCTATCCTGGGCAGCTTTGCTAAAGAATGCCTTGACTTCTTGCTGAAACTTGATACTCCTTTTTTAGGATTCCTCAGTCTTGTTTGGCAAGTCCCAATTCATTGTACAAGTGTGGTCACTTGATTAACTTGTCTCTGAGTCACTTCTGTGCCATTTCTATATTAGAGGGTGGGGGCTAGGAAGATTTCTTTGATGTTCATTCTATTCTTTTACAATGTATTTTTTTCTAACAAATGGAGAAGCTTTCCAGAACTTCAAAATGTCTATTCATTGTGTAATTTGACCCTGAACTACTCAAATGTGCTGAGCTTCTCCTGGACATTGTCTCTCACATTTCAGGATAAGAAAATCTTAGACCTGTACAAAAAACCTGAACCTGTGACAAACTTCCTCTTCTACCGAAACCAAGATGGCAGAACCTGCACTTTTGAATCAGTGGCCTTCCCTGGTTGGTTCATCGCTTCCTCTGATAAAGGCCAGCCCCTCTTCCTCACTTCCAACCCAGGGGGAACAGACAATACTGCTTTTATATATAATGGTTACAGTTAGCCTAGAGGAGGCAGGTTGGTCATAGGCCTGAGTCTTAAATTTTCTTGTTCCCAGCATTTAATAAATATTTATTACCTCAATATCATTTCACATCAGAGTTGAGTGCAGCCTGCTTTCATCTTATTTAATGACTGAAAAAAATGATGAATTCATAGCTCTGAATTGCCTAGAAGCAAGAGGAACAAGGTGGTATAAAGCTTTCCTCTCAAGACGAAGCCTATTCCACAAGCCCCTCCTGAGAACCTTGGGGGCCCACAGGTGGTAGAAGCATCTGAGGAATGGCATGAAGAAATTTCAGATCTCGTGAGACTATATTTGAGTTTGCTGGAACCGAATGGTGCTGATCATTGTTTTTTGTTTTATCTTGTTTTCAGTTTTTTCTTAAGTGTATTACCTGCTACATATTTCTGTGTGTACACTATATTTCATTAATATTAGGATCTTTTAAAGAAAAACAATGACTAATAATACAGCCCGGCAAGCTACCGAGAGTATTCGATATGCCAGACACAGTAACAACAAAGTCTCCAATGGAGACGTTACTGGGCCCGCTCGAGCAAATCGACGATCAACGGGAGGGGCCTTTACTTACTTTACTAATAATACAATTACTCTTATCAAATTTTAGTATGTAAACATATAGGATAATATAAAGTATATATCTATACAATAATAAAAATGCAACAGGTTTAATAGAAAATTCAATGTGAACTGAAATCATCCAGAGTAACTCAGAGAAAGCAACAGACTGCATGAGTCCAGGACTAGTGCTTAGTCGGGGGTAAAGGACCCCTTGCTGTGCTGAGTGTAGAATGGGAGATAGCCATGGAAAAGGAAGTGATTATATCACTATTTTCTCTACAGTCTTACAAACTTCCTTGTCTACTTCTCAATTATTTTTTAAATTTTAGACATATTCGCCACACTTTAAAAACTGCAAAGATTAGATGACTTTCTAGGAACCAGAGGAACAGAGTCTAGCTTTCCAATATAGAGAAATTGTTACTCTACTAAGCTTTTCTACTCTTTCCCCTATGTATTTAGGCATATACCTGAGACCTACTCAGCCACACTTCAGAGAATGTATTCTGATGAAATCCAATAACTGATCGAAGGTCTTATTGTTGAAAGCTGTGGCTCATACCTGGTTCCACATATTTATTATTTTGTCTCTACTGAGAGAAATGCAGAAAACTGCTTTTTGCTTAATTGTAGACTTCAAAAGCACATTCATACTTAATTTTTTTTCTACTTTTGGGCAATCATACTATGCTAGGCATAGTGGGAAGTCACTGGTAAGCTGGATTTAATGATTTAAGGAAGTGTCTTCTGCAGGTTGACTTGTGACTGTTATGGTTTTTAGGTCTCCGATACCTACATCTTACCACCCATGGTTTGATGGCTCTGTTTCTCTTCTTCTTCTAGCCACTGTGAACATTTTGTTTATACTGGCATTACAAATTCTTGGATTTTCACATGGCACAGTATGAGCTCATTAAAAAAAAGGTCACATGAATTTTTTGGTCATATGGCTGGGTTCAGAAGTTAGGTGGCCATCCTGATGAACCGAAGAACTCTGACAACTTCATTTTACTTAGAGTATAACACAAATGGAAACTCTAACTTCTAGCAAACCACAGAGATCTTGTGGGTCCCAGAGAACAGATATTCAGATTACTAGCATGCTCATCACATTTGAGAAATAACATGAGACACAGAATGTGAATCCATAGAGTAGCAACATTCTGATTTCCAGGTGCTTGCCTAGCATACATCTGGCTAACACACATTTGTGGAATCAGATGCTCTTACTTTTGAGTACCAAGAGCTCCAGGCCAACATTCACTGAAATATTTGAATCTTTAGCGACAGAGTCCTGTAGAGGATCTGATGAACTTGGAGTCTTTTGGATTTGGAATGGGGGGGGGGGGGTTAAGAATCTTGTCCCCCAAAACATAATTGTGGAGAAAATAGGGTGATTTTGATATTTTATTCAAATGGCTTTGAGATTGTTCTATTTTTGTTCTATTACAAATTTTGTTCTATTACAATCTTGAACAATTGCTCAGGATTGTTTTATGTCACCAGGAGTCCTATCCTACATAGCTAAGGCTGCTTCCAAAGCTGGAACCATCAGCAAAAGAACCTGGGAAACAACGATGCACCCTTAACCCCACACCAAGAACCACCCAGTGAGGTGATAGCCGTTAAATATTTATAAATATTTAATAATAATAATAATAATATAAATATTTATAAATATTTAACAAATATAAAATTTTAAAAGAACTGTTTTTAAATTTTTACTCATTAGACTTTATGAAGTTGCTTAAAATGGGCACTGGTGGAGGGATGGGTATTTGATCATTGTATAATTGAAATCCAAGCACAAAATTTGTAAGTCTACAGCTGTACCTCATGGTGTCTCACTAATAAAAAAAATTTTAAAAAATACATACGTATGGTTAAAAGCAATAGTCCCTGCCCTAGTCCTGTTTCCATAGAGAAATTGTTACTCTACTAAGCTTTTCTACTCTTTCCCCTATGTATTTAGGCATATACCTTTACTTCTGTTTCTTAGATTATCCAACTCTTCTACAAGACAGATATCAATTGCATACCAGACACAACTGATGAGCTCTTTATTTACCTCCTAATAGTAGCAAGTTAAACCAACTATGTTTACAAGTGACCTGACCCTAGGGTAATCTTGTTAGCCAATATTATCACATGACACTGACAAGGTATGCAACAATCTTTTCTGGATTTTTTTTTCAAGATTTGGATAATTTATTTTTTTACATTTAAAAACTTTATTTATTTATTTTTATTAAGTCACCCATGAGACACACAGTAACAAAGTTATTCATGATAGGGTTTCAGTCATACAATGTTTCAACCATCCCTCTACAACCTACATTTCCCACCACCAATGACCCTAGTATTCCTCCTGCCACACCCCCTTGCCCAGCCTACCTCTATGGCTGGCACTTTTCTTCTCAAGTTGAATAATTTTTAAATATGGTTTCTCAAGCAATGATTGAGGACCTTGGGGCCACTCCCAGCATCAGCCTGGTAGTGAGTGGCTCCAGTTCATAGCTCTGACCAGCATTTCTGGGTGTCATCAGGACCACCTCAGGCAGTGCTGGGAAGAGCATGTAAAACAGGGATCTATCCACTGCCTATTGATCATTGTTCTGAATTACATCATTACCTTCAGCTTTTTGATTTATGTGTGAGGAAAGGGAAGTACCTGGAATAAGCATGACTTGAGGGTGGTACTGACACTTAGAAGTAGAACTGGAAATAATAACACTCTTGATTTCAGGTCTTTAAATTTTTGTCTCCTGGAGTTGGTGTTATGAAATGCTATGTAAGAAATCAGCAACAATTATCCAGAGCAAAGTATGAGCCACCTCACACCCATTGTTGGGGTTTTCCTTATCTAGCAGGAGGTCAGTAAATGACCCACGAGGGGTGGGGCACTGCTGGTCACCTAAACATCATTATGTAATGACTTGATATGTTGGCTACTTGTATTTCTCAAACTTGAAGCAACATCACAGTTGCCTAAGGTATCAACTAAATGCCCAAATTCTGGACTTATTCCAGACATATTACATTTACACTTATTCCCCTAGTAATCACAACTTACTAGGTTTAGAGCAGGGACAAACAAAAATCAATATTTAATTAAATTAAATGTTAGAAGATGTTGATGATTAACCAGTTTGTGAAATGCTTTTTACATATAAAAAGACATAGATTACTCATGGTTGGAATGGTTTATGTGCTACTGCAAAAATAAAAAGATACATAACATTTTAGTGCTGATTTTCTTTATACTTTTCTTAGACTATACTCACTTGTGTGATTTTTAAGTGAACTAAATAGAATGGCTTATATAAAAACATTTAAAACTATGGGACCAGGGAAATATCTCAAAGCACTAAAGGATGTGTTTTATGTGTGGGAGTTCCAAGCCAAGTATTGCCAAGTGAGCCCTAGAGTAGATGTTGTCCAAAAATCAAAACGAAAACAAATTTTGGTCTTAATAAAATCAAGTTTGTGATGTAGAATATTAGTCAGCAATTAAAAATTTGACCTATACTGCTTGCAGAGCCAGGAGAAAGCCCTGAACACAACCAGGTACAGATACTAAACAAAAACAACAAACAAAAAATAAGCTACTGATGAGTGACAAAACCCAAATTGTTGGAGGTATACAAAAAGGGTTTATAATGTACAATTGAATTTATATGTTCAATAATCGGGAAAACATCTATGATGATAGAAATCAAAATAGTGCTTTGTTTTGACAAAGGGTGAAGGCAAATAGAAGTTTCCCAAAGTGGCTTTGGATCAAATATTAAAAGGTAAAGGTAAAGGTAAAGGCCCTCCCGTTGATCGTCGATTTGCTCAAGCAGGCCCAGTAACGTCTCCATTGGAGACTTTGTTGTTACTGTGTCTGGCATATCGAATACTCTCGGTAGCTTGCCGGGCTCTCCGAGAGGGGCGGAGGAATCGAACTCCGGTCAGCCATGTTGGCCGCTTGTAAAGCGACCGCCCTACCCACTGTGCTATTGCTCCAGCCCGGATCAAATCCTGTTGAAATAAACTACAAATCACAAATCACAATGACTTTCTGATTCTTTGCAGCAACACATCATAAGTCAATGGAGAAATACTTTTAAAACATTAATTTAATTTTTATGAGCGTGGTGGCTATTGGGTTCTGGAAGTTTGTGGCTGCCAGGGTTTTGGGGCAGGCAAAAGGACACACCTGCCCACCTGCCCCTTTTGAGGTGGCATGGTGGAATCAGCCTGGTGAAGGGTGGGGAAACATCTCTGCTGTGTGCTGCTCTCTTCCGAGATTCATTTGTGAGTCTGATTTTGATCTCTTTCAAGATTTATTTATGGGTTTCTGAAACAATATTTATACAATAAATGATCTTGTATAGCTGATCCAGAGGTGTTTTGTGGGTGTGACTCCCACATAC